GCGCGACAAGCTTCTTCGATGTGGAGGGTCAATCTCTGAAGACGCCTTCGTAACAGTCGTCATCGGTGGCCTCGGTCCTCAGTGGCGCGCCACCAAAGCAATTCTTCGAGCACACGGAAGGATCTCCGAAGCGGCACTTTGCGCAGAAATTCACGCCGAGCAGCAGGATATGGACTTGCAAGAAGAAAGACACAAGAAAAGGACATTAGCACCGGAGTTTGCTTTCTATACTCAGCGACGACACAACAACTACAACAATCGACAGCAGCAGCTGAAGCTAGTACCTCCATTTTGTCACATCTGCAAGACATCAGGACACCCACGCACGCACTGCCCGTCTCGACAGACAACACCACAGCGACAACTGCGGCCTTCAAGCACCCAAGTTGCTTCGACACAAGCAAGCTCGACAACCACGATTCAAGCTTCAACGACCTCAACTGGACAACCTGCACAAGGAGCAAGACATATAGTCAACTGCATGGTCAAGATAAACGACTCTTGCATAACAGAGTCACCACCCCATTACTCACCGGAAGAGGAGCTCGACAACAGGACGCCTCGTCGCGAATCACTCCATCCAAATCCGACTTACGCCGCTATCGCTCAAAATGAACCGTCCGGCCAAGACACCTGGTTCTTGGACAGTTGCTGCGGGCAACACATGTGCTCGTCCGGGCGTTTCGTACAACGCGAACATCAACTCCAACGGGAAGTAATCATCACGGTTGCCAACAACCAAAACCTGCGCACACGAAGACAAGGAGTGGTACAGCTTCAGTCAAGAGAAACAAATGTCATACTGCACATGTCTAAGGTACTCATCGCTGAAGGACTTGGCTACAACTTACTGAGCGTTAGCCAGTTGATGGCGAAAGGAATTCATCTGGAAGCCGACAGCACGACCCAGGAGTTCAAGCTTTACCACGGGAGAGGCGGTCTCTACATCGGGAAAGCAGTGCTGAAAAACAACGTCTTCGTCCTCGACTTCGCTCCCGACCTCGGCACTGCAGACAGCGACGCCATTGTGAACTTTGCTGATTGGACACACCCTCCGGATCTCGACCTTGACTTCAGCCTGGGAGGTTTCTGGTACTCCCACACTATCCCTGAAGCAGAACGAACAAGAGCGTTAGCAACGATTCAACAAGAAGCAGAGACGACAACATCGGCAGCAGCGACAACATCGGCAGCAGCGACAACATCGGCAGCAGCGACAACATCGGCAGCAGCAACAACATCAGCAGCAGCAGCAGGAACAACGACACCAGTCACAGTCGACGAAGCACCACCAACACCCGCCCAACAGCTGAATCCGACTCAACGTGAAGTCCACCGAAGCGCCAACCTCGTCGCCAGCTTTTACTCCAACTCCGACGCATATCAGCGTTCACCCGGACACCGCGCCTCTGAAGAGATCTGGCACGCACGCACAGGACATCCAAGCAACACGGTTTTGAATAACACGATAAGAGCAGGAGTCCTCGACAAAGACTCTCTACTTCTACCCGATGGCAGAGAACTCCAGAAGGCACGAGGGACTTGCCTTATATGTCCCGAAGCTGACTTACCTCATCGACCGTTTGCTTCACATCACAACCCGAGCGCTCCAGCGTACGCACCACTCAAAAAAGTCTACAGCGACATCCTCTACAATCGCGAACCAGGACAAGTCAACTACAACTACACCATCACCTTCATCGACGCCGCCACTCGATACGTCTTGCATCGCAACCTACCCTGCCGCGACATGGCGCTCGCAGCATTCGCCGCCTGGCTACCGATAGCAGAGAGAGAGTCTGGAACACAACTGAAAAATTTCCAGTCAGACGGAGGTGGCGAGTACACCTCTCAGCGCTTCAAGCAGTTCTTGGCGGAAAGGGGGATCAAGCAACTCCTCTCCCTTCCCTACGCACATTAGCAGCAAGGTGTTGCAGAACGACTGAACAGGACCCTGCAGAACAGCATGCGCAAACTGTTACGTGGCATGCGGCTACCCAACCACCAGTGGCCAGCAGCAATGGACCACGCTGTCATGCTGCACAACTTGTTGTCGTCGTCGTCACTCCCAAACAACGCATCACCGCATCTGCTGTGGACAGGGAAGCAGGGCAGCACGAAAATGTTACGAGTTTTCGGGTGCATGGTACAGTACAGACCCCCAGAAGCACGAGCGGGAAGATTTTCGCAACGGGCACAAAGGGGACTACACCTCGGCATCGAGAAAAATTACAACGCATGGAGAATCTTCGACGTCCACAGAAAGGAAACAGTAGCAGCACGTGACGTGATCTTCTACGAAAGACTCACCCTTCAGACGTACCTCGCCAACTTGCACGAGAATCGGGACCTCACCAGTGGTTTTCGTGGTGACCGAGCCTTCGCGTCAGCAGCGGACGAAGCAGACTGGGATGAACAAAACGTCGACAACGCCTCGGAATAAGCCGGACCTCTCCCATACTGCTCCGTCGACGTGCCCATGGATGAGGATAATCCTCGCGACAGTAACAACGCCGAAATATTCTACCGTTTCGCCGACGATGGTTACGTAACACCTGTGACAGTCAACACCAACGAAGTAGAAAGGGTAGGGCCAAATTTCATGCCCGACCCAGAAACGGGAGACGAAGCAGCTTATCCCGAGGATCCAGAACTCCCTCGATACTCACAGACTGGGCTGCAAATCCTTGGTCTCGTCACCGCAGTCCATGGCGCCGGCATTCCTAAGGAGCCTGCGACGGTTCAGCAGGCTCTGGGGGGGGAACACAGGGAGAAATGGCGTGAAGCTATGGACAAAGAGCTAAAGGCACTGGAGGAGCGCAACACCTGGAAAATTGTTCCCATCGGCGTAACTCAAAATAAAAACATTCTTACCGGGAAATGGGTCTTCCGTGTGAAGACGAAAGCTGATGGCACCATCGACAAATTCAAAGCCCGCTGGGTCGTACGTGGCTTCGACCAGGAGCACGGAAGAGATTACACCGAAACCTTCGCTCCGGTCAGTCGCCACACCTCACTCCGAATTCTCATCGCCGTCGCCGCCATGAAGAAAAAGAAATTGCGACAAATCGACGTTGCGAACGCATTTCTCTACGCACCTGTGGATGCAGAAATCTTCGTCGAACTCCCGCACGGCTCCCACGGCGAACCCAACCGAGTGTGTCAACTACTCAAATCACTCTATGGGATCAAGCAGGCACCGCGACTGTGGCAGCAGTACCTACACGCCCGCCTCATCCGCATCGGCTTCAAACAACTCCCGCATGACCAGGGCATGTATCGCCTCACAAAAGGAGGCGATTACGTCCTACTAATCGTCTACGTGGACGATCTCCTCTACATTGGGTCAACCGACGACATCGCCACGTGGTTCGAAGGGGAGCTCCAGAAAGACCTCACGCTCACGGTCTCTTCTACGGTTACGCAATACCTCGGGCTCAACATCCGTGAGGAAGAAAACGCAATCTACCTAAGCGCCGAGAAGTACGCCGACACTATCGCGAAACGCTTTCGTCTCACACCAAGCGCCATCTCCACGCCTTACCGCTACGCGTCAGGAACCGAAAAGGGGCAATCTACTCTTCTTAAACCCGCCGGCATACGCGACTATCAGAAGAAGCTTGGATGCCTTCTTTTCGCAGCAGTCACATGCCGTCCCGACCTATCCTACTCCGCGAGTCAGCTCGCTACCTATCTCAAGAGACCTGAAGCAGAGCATCTGGCGGAACTCGATCGTGCTCTCCACTACTTAGTCAGCACCGCGACGATCGGACTAACTTATCACAAAAACATGACTACACCGACCAAGCTAATCGGCTACGTCGACGCCGATCACGCCGGCGACACCGACAACAGGCGCTCACGCACCGGCTATGTCTACCGCCTTGAGCCTATCGGTCCTATCTCCTGGCAGTCGAGCAAGCAGGAGTTAATCGCACTATCTTCAGCAGAAGCAAAATATATTGCACTCTGCTCAGCCACCAAGGAGGGACTTTACCTTCGCGAACTACTGGAAGAAGCGAAGGTAGCCGAGTTACCCAGCTTCACCGTGTTCTGCGACAACCAGTCGGCAATTGGCATCGCCAACAAAAACGGCTTCGCAAACAGGACGAAACACATCGCCCTGCGCTATTTCTTCGTGAAGGACGAGATAGAAAAAAGGGAAACTCGATCTGTCATACTGTCCAACATCCGAGATGGCAGCCGATTACTTGACCAAGAAACTCGGAAAGCAGAAGTTCGAATACTGCATGATGCTGACTGGACAAGGCCACGTCACCAGCAGCGACACTCCAGAAGCGAAGGGGAGTGTTGGAAACAATAAGTCCTAAGTGCGCTTCTGTCGTATCAAAATCCAAGGCACCAAGCGAAGCAGTCCCAATCGAAGCATCGAGTCAACCTCGGAGGTTAGGGTAACCGCCTGGAGGTTACGAGAAAGTCAAAGGTCGCTGACCTTTGACTCGACAATTACAGCGCGACAGTTAAGGACACACAACTGACTCGTTACAGAGCAGTTGCCCGAGTCGCACTATATCGAACCGCAACAGCAATACAGTTATCTATCTATCTATTCGTATTCCCTGTACTCTTATATAAATCCTTGTATTTGCTTGTTTAATTCAATCTACTTTGCTCTCACACACCAGTGCAAGGTCGGTTCACAATCCTCATTAAACGCTTCCGCTATTACAAGTTTCTACCCAAGAGTTCTCCTCTGCAAAGATCCTAAGGGCTATTTTTCAGCCCAACACGGAGCGCGGGTTACCAGCCGAGCCGTGAGGTCGGGATGCGATGTGCGAAAAGGGCGGGATGATGAATGATGCGATGGTCGCGAGTGGTAACGGTGCTGACTGAGGTGCTACAGTGATGTACGCGTTGAGCAGGGACGCGAAGTAAGGAAAAGGGAATTTCCTTACAAATATACACATGAGATGTATGTTCAACTAAACAAAATACATTCAAATCCATCATTTACAGAGATAAAATTATCTCATCACACTTCATTCCACATCCTTAAAGCTCTTTTTTTCATACACACCATCCTTCCCTCTCACCCAGACGTCTCCTCTATGCTCCATCACATCTAAACTCGCGCTATTTCGCACATAACCTCCCTTTCTACCTCTAAAATTATGTTCACTCAGAATTTGTTCCTTCCCGCTGTGCCAACCACGCCTCCTTGTCAGAGGACCTTCCTCATGGACGCCCTTATTTTCCGAATGTGCAATCCTCTTTGAGCCAGCAGTATCCGACCCATGAAAATCTCCTCCATTCCTCTTTTCTTCCCCCACTTTCCCTTCCCAACCTTCCATATCACCTTGCTTCCCTCGTCTTCCTCCCACCCTCCACTCATCTTGCACCTCCCAATCAGTCAAATCCCCCTCTCTCACCTCCCTCATCTCTCCTCCCACCTTCCATCGTGCCTCCCTCCCTCTCCTCCCCCTCTCCCATCCATACCCCTCCTCTTCCTCCTGTAAAGCAGTCTTCCCTGCATCAAACTGACCAGATCTACCTCCCCCAGAAGCCTCCACCTCCCACCGCCCGTTTCTTCTGAACACTCGGTCCATGCTAGTGTCCATTGCTGAATCCGGCACCTCCCTTCCTGTTGCAGCCCTTCCTCCAGATACGGCCCAATTATCTGCTACAGCCCTACCTTCTGCTACAGCCCTCTCTCCTGCTACAGCCCTCTCTCCTGCTACAGCCCTACCTTCTGCTACAGTCCTTTTCCCTGATACAGCCCTATCGTTCGCCTCAGCCAACTCCCCTACTGCAGCCCTGCCTTCTGCTGCTGTACTTTCTCCTGATACAGCCCTGTTTCCTGCCAGAGCCCTCTCTCCTGCTTCTTTGGGTCGTGGCGTATCTCTCACTGACAGCGGAGTATGAGCAGCAGGGTAAGCAGGGGCAGTAGGGTAAGCAGGGGCAGCAGGGGAAGCAGGGGCAGCAGGGGCAGCAGGGAAAGCAGGGACAGCAGGAGAATGAGCAGCAGGGGCAATTGAGGTGTTTGCCATGCTCTCTCTCTTGTCCCGATTGACTATGGCAGCAGGCGGAGGAGTGGCAGCAGCAATAGCAGACGCAGCAGGAACAGCAGGAGGAGCAGAGGCAGCAGGGGCAGCAGGAGCAGCAGAGGCAGCATGAGGAGCTGGAGCAGCAGCGGCAGCAGGGGCAGCAGGAGCAGCAGAGGCAGCAGGAGGAGCACGGGCAGCAGGAGCAGCAGGGGCAGTTGAGCTGTCTGCCATGCTCCCTCTCTTGTCCCCAGTGAAAGTGGTGGCAGGCGGAGGGACAACAGGAGCAGGGGTAGCTGTGGCAGCGGTAGCTGCAGCAGGGGCAGTTGCAGCAGGAGCCGTTGGCGAATGGGCAACTGTAATGGGACCAGAGCCAAAAGACTCTTGAGACGTCTCAAAAGCTGTAGCAGGAGCATGGGCAGCTGTCGTGCGACCAGAGCCAGAAGCAGCAGAAGCAGCAGAAGCAGCAGCGGCGGCTGAAAGAGCAGAGGCAATTCGAGCCATGGCCATTGCAGCAAAGAGAGCAGTTGCAGTTGCTGCAACCTCTTTCCCTGTAAACACTGCTACCTCCTTGCTCGATGCTCCTGTTGCTTCCTCCTCTGCTGCCTCTGCTGCCTCTGCTGCCTCCTTGATCGATGCTGCTTCTGCCTCTGTGGCTTCCTTGCTACCGATTGCAGTATCCACTGTAGCCACGTTACCTGCACCACCAAAACCAGCGGCAGCACCACCACCAGCAGCTGCAGCATCACCACCATTTGGGACATCCATGAAATCACCCACTCCTTCCCCCATTGCCCCATCTAGAGAAATCTCCCCTTCTCTTTCTCCAGATGCCCCCTTTGAGTTAATTCCAACATGTGCTGCTGTTGCTGCTGTTGCTGCTGATGCTGTTGCTGCAGCAGCTGCTCCTGCAGCTGCTGCTTCTGCCGCGTCTGTTTCTGCTGCTGCTTCTCTCTCTGATTTTGTTGCTGCTGCTAATCCTGCCTCTGCTCCTTCTTCTGCTTCTGCTTCGTCTTCAGCTGCTGCGTTCTGTTGTGTTGCAGCCGCTGCCCTCTCTTGCTTCTCAGATTCCTTGCTACCGATTGCAGTATCCACTGTGTCATTGTATTCCCTCCCCGACTCTCTCCCTTCTCCTGATTTCGCATCCTCTTCTCTTCCATCCAAAGTATCTTCCACGCTCCCCTCCTCATTCAACTCTCTCCCCTCATCGAACCGAACTCCCTCCCTTGATCCTTCTCCCTCACCCTCTCCCTTCCTTTCTTCTCTCTTCCCTTCTTCTCCCTTCGCTTCTCCCTCACCCACTCCCCTCCCTACTCCCTCACCTTCTCCCGTCCCTTCTCCCTCACTTTCTCCCTTCTCATCCCCCCCCTTGTACATGTGTGCAGGCGCAGACCTCTCTCCCTCGCCCATCCCCTTGTGTGTGTTTTTAGGCACCACCAAATCACTCCAAGAACCAGCAACCGCACTGGATGCCTCAGAACCACTGGGTGGAAGAGCCAGGGCAATGTCAGAACCACTACCTGTCGCTGGCAGCATCAAAGGAGTGCTCGAGCCTGCTGAAGAGCTGATATCTGACGTGGTTTCAGCGGCTGAAGAGCCTGCTCCTGTTACTTCAGTTGCATAGCCTGCAGCCTCTGCTATACTTTTGCCTGCAGCATCACCTGCTGCATTGACAGCAGCAGCAGCAGCAGCACCACCAGCAGCAGCAGCCACAGCAGCAGCACTAGGAGCAGAATCACGTGCAGCACCAATTCCACCATTAGCGCCACTAGTAGCATCAGCAACACTACCAGCACTCGCAGCATCAGCAGCAGCACTAGCACTATCATCAGCAGCAACAGCAGCACTACCAGCACCAGCAGCAGCACCAGCCACCACTCGTCGAACCGGACCCTCCTCCTCTCCCTCAGATAAGTTATCATCATACCCCCTTGCCACCCCTCTCTCCTCCCACCCTCCCTCCTCGTCCTCCTCATCCCCACCCAACAACCCCACCCACCTCCTCCTCCGCACCCCTCTCCACCCCTCACCAGCCCCTTCACTCCCTTCCAACTCCCCTGTCACGCCCTTCCTCCTCCCCCCAGGAACACCACACTCCTCTGTGTCCACAATAACCCCCACCTCTGCTCCCCTAACTGCTCCCCCTCTCTCCCTCCCACCTTCCCCTCTCCGCTCCTGCTCCTGTCCCTTATCCTGCTCCTCCTGATCCTTCTCCTTCTCCTTTCGCTGCTCCAGCCTTTGCTCTACCTCTTGCTTCTGCTGCAGCAACAGCTTCTCGTCCTTATCCTCCTTCTTCTCTTCTCTTCCATCCCTCCCCTCACTCCCCTCCACCTCATCTCCCTTCCCTGCACTCCCACTCCCAACCATCCAGCTTCCACCCTTCTCAACCACTTCTTTCTCCCTCTTCCAACTCCCATCCCCCATCTCCTCCTCCCACCCATCCGGAACCCTTAAAGCCACCACTCCAGCTGCTGCTGTAAACCCCACAGCCGCCGCTGCCGCCACCACCTTCCCTGCTTTTATCCCAAGCGGGGTGTCCTGCTGCTGAAACCGCTCTATCTGCTGCTGCAACCGCTCTACTTGACCCTGGAACCATTCCATCTGACCCTGAACCGCAGAGAAAAGCTGCAGACCTTGGTTCTCAATTCCGCTCAACATCCCATCGTCTCCCCTCCCATCCCCGTCCTCCCCTATCCGATTCTGACCCTCCATACGTGCTTGCACAGTAGCATCCCCTAGTGGCCTCTCCCCTATTTGGCTTGAGCTCACTCCGCCAATTCCTAACCCTTCCTCTGTGCTCTCAATCCCTTCCACTCTCATCTCAACCCCTACCTCCCCCCTCCCATTCCGTGCCCCCATAAGCGCCTGGACAGTGGGGTCCCCCTGAAGCCTCTCCACTGCTGCTGCCGCCCATGCATCCAGAGAAAGCCTTTCCCCTGAACTTTCCCCTGAAATTTCTCCTGAAATTTCTCCTAGTTCTGCTGAACTTTCCCCTGAAGCTTCTCGTGAGCGTTCGCCAGCATTTTCTCCTGAGCTACCACTCTTCTGCTCCTCGGATTGACCTTTGCCCCCATCAACCGGTATGGCTGTAGCAGATTCAGATACAGCTGCTGCTGGAGCCGCTTCTGCTGGCGCTTCTGCTGCAGGTGGCGCTGCTGCTGCCGCTGCTGCTGCTAATGAGGGTGCTTCTGCTGGTGCTGCTGATGACACTGGTGGTGATGATACTGATGGTAACGACACTGGTGGTACTGGTATTGGTACGGGTACTAGTGCTGGTACTGGTGCTGGTACTGGTGGTGGTGGTGGCAGGGGCAGTGGTTGCCATGCGGGAGGGGGTGGTGGCAGGAACTGTAAGGGTGGCTCGAGAAGAGGAGGAGGAGGAGGAGGAGGAGGAGGAGGAGGAGGAGGAGGAGGAGGAGGAGGAGGAGGAGGAGGAGGAGGAGGAGGAGGGGGAGAGGGTATGTTTGAAACACCAAAGACAGGGTTTCCGGACGAGGGAAGCCCATCTGAATCTGCTGACTCCTGGTGCTTCCCTTGGGGAAACCCTGCTGCTGCTCCCTGCTGTCCCTGCTGCCCGCCCAGCTGCTGCTGCTGCCCGTTTTGCTGCTGCCCGCCCTCCACCCCTGTGTGGCGCGCAGCAGTGAGCAGCTGCTGGAAGAACCCCACCAGTTCACCGTCTGACATCACACGGAACCTGCACACACCGCATGGAACCACCATGTAACATTCAAAAGGGGGGGAGGGGGGGGTGAGAATTATGATTGGATTCGTCTTGGGGCAGTAAGCAGCTGCTTTCCCCACAGGCAGAGACAGAGACACAGGGCGGCACAGGGAGGAGATCCCTACCTTCTTGATGGCACGTACCTCTGCGCCAGCTGCTCCCCCCACGCCACCCCCTTCCCCCACCCCACTGCTCGCCCCCAATTCCCCCCCCACTACAAAGCACATACCTCTGCGCCAGCTGCTCCAGCGCTGCTACGAGCTGCTCCAGTGAAGGAAACGGACGGGTTGAAGGAGGACGTGCGCGCTGGAGCAGCGGTTGCTGTCCTCCACCTGCTCCCTCGCACGTGCTCCTCTTCACCTGCCCACCCCCCACTACATGGCACGTACCTCTGGACCAGCTGCTCCGCTAAAAGCTGCTCCAGCGAAGGAAACCCACCACCTGCCCCCCCCCCACCTGCTCCCTCCCTCCCACGTGGCCCCCCATTCACCCACTTGCCCCCTCCCACGTCCCTTCCCTCCCCCCTGCTCATCCCCACCTGCTCCCCTCCCCCACCCCAATACATGGCACGTACCTCTGCGCCAGCTGCTCGGCTAGAAGCTGCTCCAGTGAAGGAAACACGGGAGCTGCCCCCCCCTTTTCTGGCACAGACAAAGCTGTATAGGCGACCGGAGGTGACCCTGACAGGAAAACCCCACCTCCCTGGTAAGGAAGGAAAGTTGGATAGGTGACAGAAGGAGCAATGCTGGTGGAGGGAGGAACACTGATGGAGGGAGCGATGCTCCCAGACGTGATCGTTGTGTCGGTTAGAGATGGTATGCTGTCATCCTGGCCGTTGAATGCAAGCAACGGTGCTACGATGCTATCCCGGCCGTTGAACGCGAATGTGTATCTCCCGCTGCTGCTGAATGCCATGCTGCGTGTACTCCCCTCCGTGCTACCGAGATACATGGATCTGTCAGTGCCATATGACGTATCATGATTGTCAAACGAGGAGTCATGATTGCCAGTGGCGGTTGTCGCAGCTCCAGCAGCTGTGGCAGCGGTAGCGGCAGCTGTACCAACGGCTGTAGCAGCAGTAGTAAAAGCAAACGGGTGATGGTCAGAGAGACCAGGAAGAGGACTCAGAACCAGCGAACCGCTCAGCACCGCACTGCACACAGCCTGCAGCACCGACTTGCCAGTACAGGCAAGCCTGGTGTTCAATCCTTCGCGTGCTGTATTTCCCATGTGCGCTCCACCGTCAGGCATTCCCAGCACACCCCGTTCACGTGGCAGGGAATTCTCAGCTGCTCCTGCCTCACGTGCTGCGTTTCCCACATATGCTCCAACTTCAGGCATTCTCACCACACCCCGATCACGTGACAGGTAGAGATCAGCAGCTTCGGCGGGTCTATCTTCTTCTCCGCTTGGTGGCCGCCGTTCCTCTCCCTGTTGCTCCCCTTCCGCTCCTTGAGTACTCACCCCAGGTGCCCCTTCCGCTCCTTGTGTTCCCGTCCCAGCTTCCCCTTCTGCTCTAGGTGTTACCCCCCCTTCCGCTCGCTGTATCTCCACCCCAGCTTCCCCTGGGCCTCCTTCCGCGGATCCATGCGCGGCGCAACAGCGGCTACCAGCGCGGGACGGGGGCGCGGAAGCTGGCACGGGGAAGGAGAACGACCGGCAGCGGCGGAGAGCGGCGATCTTGTCGGACGGATGCAGGGAACGCGCGGGTAAGCGCGGATGAGGGGCGGGATTGTGCGGAACGGATGCAGGCGTGCGCGGGAAGGGGGAGGAAGTGGCGGAGGAGGGAGGTGGTGCCAGCGCTACTGCCGACGCGGAAAGATGGACGGCCATGATGACACGCTTGATTCCGCATTCACACTACCGTTGCCTTGAACTTCCCTGAGGTGATCGACCTCGATCGACCTCGACCTATCGAACTTGAACAAACTACGAGCCTACACTACAGCCCTCCAACATCAGCAGAGGTTCGACGTTTCTTTTATCAATCTTCCAGTAAGCTACCTTGTTGATCATTTCTACCGTATCTTCGAAGGCTGGGTGGGGTAGAGAAATGCGGGCACTGCACGCTGCTGGGTGGCTACGGAGCGGAGGAATGTCGCTTGCTTAGGAGTTGCCGCCTAGAAGCTACCATAAGAATACGCGACACCAATTCATGCGATACAAAAAACCGGATGATGTGACACTTCATATACGGTATGAGGGCCAGGTTGTATGTTTCTTAGAATCCACCTAATGTAAGAAAATAGATGCATTCTGTGATATACGGGGGCCAGATTGAATGTTATTAAATAGATGCATGCAATGCAAGTCAGAACGTTTTTGCTTTTAGAGACATTTTTTTTATAGCTTCTAGCACAAAGCCTAGACATTATGGGAAAAGAACTGCATAGTATGGATATGTCATTATGAATAAGTGATAATGGTTTTATGTTTTATAAATGTTTCAATTCGGCTGATTTATGCCACATCCTTCATTCAGGAACTAATTTAGGAAACTAGTGAATTCTGGTTGCGGTTTTACCCCTCACATTCTGAGTTCTCTATTGCGTCCGCTAATACCGCACGATACTGGAGTGGCTTACCACCGGTGAATCCAAAACCACCCAGTATCGCGCATCGTCTCGCCGGTTTCGTCACTCTTCGTGAGGGCTTAGCTTTCGCCAGGCCTTTCTTTCATCTCCCCCTCCTCCCTGTGCTCTCCTCTCCTCCTGTTTGGCGAATAACTCGCCTTACCTCCCCTTGCTTCCCTCTCTTTAGTCGCAGACCCTAAGGACCTGCGCGCTCGGCGTCACACACGCTGCATCACCCCGTCTTAGTCGCAGGGTCTCACATACCCTCTCGCAGGTTAGAATGCGCTTCCAGACCCTGTTGTTCGGCTGTACTTCATTATGCTTGATTGATTAATGTAGAATCCAGGCTCACAGTTCCTCTACGTCTCGCGGTTCGCAGTCTCCTGTCACCCCGTTGTTATCGCGTCTCGTGTGATGTTTGGTCCCCGTCTCACGTCGTGCCACGTGTCGTGTGTCCATTCGTGCAGCCATGTTTACAGCGCGCAGAAAGATTCAGAAGGAGAAGGGTCAGGAGCCCGATGAGTTCGAGGAAACCGTCGCCCAGGTGCGTCGCATCGTGTCACTCACCGTTCGATGGCGTCACAATCTGCACAGGCCGTTCGATCGCGTTGCAGACCTGCTATGTTCCCTGATAGGCTCATACGGGTCACGGTCCTGCGGGATAATTGGTTTAGATTATGCAGTACTGGTGGAGCGCTCCTCAGACAATTGTCCTGGAGATTAACGGTCGTTACGGAGGTCAGGTCTCAGAGGTACAGTTCACTGTAGATAACGGAGAAAGAGTTGTTGGGTTAGTGTTGACGGCCGTCCGTGGAGCAGACCGCATTCAGTTCCGTCGGCCTTAGAGGAGGAAGCCGTGACGATCTGGTCGCACTCATTGGCGAAGCAGGCCGTTTTTAGTGCGTATCTTCAATCTCGCCAAAGCTTTATGCATGGCGACATCCACCGTCTCTGGAGTGCGTTTGACCGTAGACTCGACTAAGGAGCTGAGTTAGGGACCAGCCGAGCCATCGTTAGGGCTCTAACACGTAGGGACCAGTCGCAACTTAAAGGAGTTGTTAACGAACAGGTATCAGGTATCACGGTTACCCGATCAGTGTGCTGAAGCAGTTGAGACGTTGGTGAGACGGTCGAAAGGAATGGCTGGCGAACGAAGAGTGGTCGGTTGGATCGAATTACCGTGCCAAGGCATTCTGGAGCAGGGTTAGGGTTTCGAGGATTCAAAGTCCAACATGAGGTTCTCTGTCGATTGAATATTATCGGAATGTCGGTCGAGCCTGCTGTCTGGCGGTCCCCAGGTAACGATATTCAGCCTCGGTTAGAATTAGCGCGCTAGTTTCCAGGCGCTGGGGCTTGCCTAGATATGCTTAGTTCACACATCAATCCCTAGGTTGTAGTTACCGGGAAAGACCGGGTCCTCGTGTGTTGGCGTGGTTTCGAGGATCAATAGAAATCAGCCAGGTTGTATTCACCGTGCGCTGATCGGGTTCTCGTATGATTGGACTGCAGGCCCTCTTCGATTTGGAGGCGACCAATCAGGAGCTGAAGAGCGACCTGCGCGATCTCTTCATCAATAGCGCCAAGTACGCTTCATTTGTTGTTTTCCTTCGATTCCCTGCTTGCCCCGCTTTCCCCTGTTTACGCCTGTTTTCTTTATTCACGTTCTCGTTCAGTCTAGGGGCCTATTTCCCTCTCCCCCCCGCTCCCCAACCCCTCCTCCCCCTCCCCTCCGTGCCCCGACCCCCGCTTGTTTTCTCAAACCGTTTACGGATGAACTGTTAACGAATGCTCCTATATCCCGGTTTTCGCTTGCAAGGCGTGATCGTGCACGTGCCGTTCCGCCTGCGACGGGCTCACCCGCCTCCACTCCCCATCCCCCTATCCCCATTCCCCATCTGTGCCATTTCCGCAGGGAGATCGACGTGTCGAGCAGCCGCAAGGCCGTGATCGTGCACGTGCCGTACCGCGTGCGAAACGCTTGCCCCCGTCCCCAACCCTCATTCTAACCCGCATCCCATGCCCCTTTCTCCCGTGACCCTTCATCCCGGTTTCCTTCTCGTTCAGGGAGATCGACGTGTCGAGCAGCCGCAAGGCGGTCATCGTGCACGTGCCGTACCGTCTGCGCAAGGCGTTCCAGAAGATCCACGCGCGCCTCGTGCGGGAGCTCGAAAAGAAGTTCAGCGGCAAGGTGCGGTGGATAGGGGGCGAGATGTGGTGGGGTGCGGTGGAGAGGGGCGAGGTGGGGTGAGGGGTCAGTGGAAGTATGTGAGTGGCAGGGTGCCTCGTGCGCGAGCTCGAGAAGAAGTTCAGTAGCAAGGTGCGATGGCAGGGCTGCGAGTTGCAGTTGAGAGGGGCGAGGTACGGTCGAGAGGGGTCTAGGGAGAAGAATGTTAGCGAGTTGAAGAGGGTGCGGCGGGGTCTGGCAAGGGCTGAATTGTGAGACGCGACGTGCATTGCGGGGGAGGCGCTGGATGGACTAGGCCCAGCATTTTTTCTTGGAAGAATTGGCGGGAGAGGCAGGGAAGAACGGGAGGGATGGGAGGACATGGGAGAGTGGAGAGGGTTGGGTTGGGTGTGAGCAGGAAGAGGCTTGGGTGTGTGCAGGAGGAGGCTTGGGTGTGTGCAGGAGGAGGCTTGGGTGTGTGCAGGAGGAGCCTTGAGTGTGAGAAAGAAGAGGCTTGGTGGGAGCAGGAAGAGGATTGGTGGGAGCAGGGGAGGATCTGGTGTGAAGAGGAGTGGGAAAGGATTGGTGACGCAAATTTGGAAAGTCAATGGGAGATGAGCTGATGTTTTGCCGCGCACGGGCTCCAAGGTGGTGTGGCCGCGCACGCGCACGCTGACGGCGGTTCCATCAACTTTCTGCTTTCCCTGTGCCCCCTGTTCTCCATCCCTGTTCGCCCTGTCCCTCTGTCCACCCCAGGATGTAGTGTTGGTTGCCACCCGTCGCATCCTCCCGAAGCCCCGCAAGGGCTCCAAGGTGGTGCGGCCGCGCACGCGCACGCTGACGGCGGTGCACGAGGCGATCCTGGAGGACCTCGTCTTCCCCACCGAGATCGTCGGCAAGCGCGTTCGCTTCCGATTGGACGGTTCCCGCATCATGAAGGTACGGTGTCGATATGGTAATGTCGGTGCGGTGCACTGGTGTCATCACTAGGGTCACTGGTTAGCAGCACGGCACAGCAGCGCTAGCACAGGGGGGCATACACGTGCTCTTCCGGCTGGACGGCTCGTGTATCATGAAGGTACAGTGGGGTGACAGGTGGGATGATGTGCATGCAAGCATAACTAGGCACGCTGCCTGACAGCACAGCAGCACTAGCAATAGGCCAACAGGCTGACAGCTCAGCACAGCAGGGTTGCACGGCACAGCAACAATGCGCTCGTGCACGGTGAGGGCGGTGCAGGAGGCAATACCTTCGAACCTCAACACCCACTGTCTGCTACCCATACTTGTCTGTCCCCCATACACACAGGTGTACCTGGACCCCAAGGAGCGCAACAGCACCGAGTACAAGGTGGAGACTTTCTCTGCTGCTTACAAGAAGCTCACCGGCAAGGATGTCGTCTTCGAGTTCCCCATCACCGAGGCTGCTGCCTAAGTGCCGTCTAAGTTCTGCAAGTTCTTTCATGTGCCCATGGCTGCTGCCTAAGTGACACCAAAGCGCCAGCTCACTCTTCACTTACCTCCCAGCGGTGGCAAGCAGCAGGAAGCCAAAAGTGCGCGTTTTTAGGGAGAATGTGTGTTCAATGCTGCTGCTGTCATTTGGAAGTATGTAATGCTGCTGATTGGCTCAATATTTCAAAAGCTCTGATGATTTTGCAGTACTTGTAGTGTACACTTCTCTCGTAGATATCTGTAAGGAATTTTCTCGGCATTCCTTACGGAGCCGACTACATCGCGTACAGCAACAGCCGATTGTTCGCCCGTTACTGCTAACGGAACTTCGCCGACTTCGCGCGCACTGTTTTACCAAACCTCGCACTGCTGGCATGGCCGTATCGGCCTACGCTTCGGGACTAGCCCGAGCCTCGCTCCAGCGTAGCACTAGCAAGCTCGCACGCACCGCGTTACCGTTTTGCATGTTTCGCGTATAAATGTTCGCTCATGCCTTCGCTCACATTTTGTACTCGTTTGACACCTTAGTGCAATTCTCGCTACCTCGATTCATTGCACCCGTAACACTTGGTATCAGAGCCCCTTTCTTTCGGACCGCGCATCTCCGCACACCAGGAAATCAACTTTTGATTTTTCACTCGAAGGGACTCACGCACCTTAGCCCCTAGGAGCCGCTGTCCTCGCGTTCTCTCGTAAACGCGTGCAGCCACGACTGCGCCTAGACTAAGACGAGCCGACGCCCTTCGTCATGGCCGAAAACATCGACGTCACCACTCTCACGCAGGAACGTTTGAACGATCTGCTGCGACAACTGCACGAAAGCTCCGAGGAAATCGCGGCATTGACGGCAGAACGCTCATCACTGCAAAATGACCTCCTGAGAGCACAATCTCAAGCACCTGGCACTCCGATTCAACCCGCACCCTCAACATCACAACACGGGAGTGTGGGGCAACCCGCGAGCGCGGCCAGTGATGGCGTCGTCCGCCCCGACGGAGACGACGACCACGGCACGACACACCCCAGAGCGACGCCTGCGGCCCCAAGTCAGCCTCGCGTCACGATTTCGGCACCAACCCACGATTCGGGACTGCCGTCACCGATGCCGCTGAAGCCGCAGCGCCCGCCATGCTTTGACCCGAGTCAACGGGGTGGTCCTACCGTTCAGGCGTGGTTATTCACAATGAATGTTTTCTTCGACGCCAACTACGTCTCGGAGGACTCGGCGAAGATTTGATACGCCGTGTCGTTGCTGCGAGGACCCGCCATGGACTGGTGGCGCGTCATCGTCACGAAGCCGACCGACTACGCGACACTACCGACACGGGAAGGACAAACCGGACCCTGGGCGCCGTCGTATTTCGTGGAGGTGCCCCAGTATCGCACGTGGGACGCGTGGTGCGCAGGTCTGCGCGCTCGATTTGAGCCAATCGCGGCCTCGATCTCGGCGCGACAGAAGCTCCGCACTTGGCGCCAACTCGGTTCCGTCCAGGATTACACGAGCGGATTTCTGGCGCTATGCGAGCAGGTGGGCTACATGCATGAGAGCGAACGCATCGACCGCTACATCGGCGGCCTGAAGCAGGACATCGCTCAGGAAATCCAGCTTCGCGGCGTCACCGAATTTCAGGAAATTCTCGCTATGGCGGAGAAGCTCGACTTCTTTCGCCGACCGAGACCGGGGTCCTACGGAAACAACAACTGGGGACATCGGCCTCGTGGGACGAACGAAAGCGCCACGATACGCGCCGTCGCCGCAAATGCCGCTGCCGCACCGTTCAAAGGGCGCTGCTTTGCGTGCAATCGGCCGGGACATCGCAAGAGCGAATGCCCGGAAAACGCTAAGGGAAAGGGGGAAGCTGAGCAGCAGACACAGACCAAGCAGCAGGGAAACGCTGGAAGTCAGTAGCAGACGGGCCCTCTACTGACAGGTCACGCCGCTCGCCCGACCCAACCGACCCTCACCGAGTGATTGTGCCGGTTCACGCAATCGACCACACCCGGCCGAATAAGGAGGGTACCACGGTAGACAGCCCTATACTGCTCAGTGGGAAAATTGGGACGGACTTAGTTAAAATCTTCGTAGACGGGGGAGCCAGCCACAGCCTCATTAACACTGCTACAGCACGAAAACTGCGACTGCCACTGGACAGATGCTTACCTGAGATCGACGCACGACTGGTAGACGGCACACCGCTGGCAATACGGGAACGCGTAGACCGAGTTCGGATTCGATGCGGGGGTAACTTCACGTTTAGTCAGGAAATGCTCGCAACGACCCTCGACGGAACCGACATTTTACTCGGGCGTGATTGGCTGCGACGACACAATCCGCGAATTGACTGGACGACGGGTGACTGCACCGTGCGAGTAAACGGTAACAACATCGCCTTACCTCGCTGGGGCTCGCCTGAGTCTTCGTCGGTGCGTGTCAACGCGATCACGATGAAACGCGCTGTTGCGGCCGGAGCTGACGTGTACGCGGTTGACATTCGGGAAGCCGAGGCAGCAGACAAGGGGGGCGATTTACAGAAACTGCTGACCGACGTACCGAGTGACCTGGCGGCACTGTTAAAACAGTACAGTGACATTTTCCCGGATGACTTACCGACGGGACTGCCACCTCAGCGACCGCACGATCACAGGATAGAACTGGAACCGGGGGCACAGCCAACAGTACAGCGACAGTTCCGACTGACCCAACCCGAACTAAACGAACTAAGGAAGCAGCTCGATTACCAGCTCGAAAAGGAATTCATTCGCCCTAGTTCGTCGCCCTTCGCCGCACCAATACTGTTCACACCGAAAAAGGACGGGGGTTTTCGCATGTGTATCGACTACAGGGCACTAAACAGGGTTACCATCAAATCCCGTTACCCCATCCCACGAGCCGACGAACTGATCGACCAACTGCGTACAGCCCGGGTTTTCTCGAAAATCGACCTCCGAGGAGGCTACCACCAAATCCGCGTCAACCCACCCGACTGCCCTAAAACCGCATTCCGAACACGCTACGGATCCTTCAAATACACCGTCATGCCATTCGGACTGACCAACGCCCCCGCCACTTTCCAAATGACCATGAACGAAGCATTCCGCCCGCTTTTAGATAAGTGCGTCATCGTTTATCTGGACGACATACTGATTTACAGCCCTGACAGAGCACAGCACTTAGAAGACATCGAAGCAGTCTTCAAAATCCTGAGTGAGAACCGCCTACTGACCAAAGCATCTAAGTGTGAGTTTTTACAGGACCGCCTGGAGTTTTTGGGACATGTTATTTCAGCTGCAGGAGTGGAAATAGACCCGAAGAAAATTGCGACGATTCAGGCTTGGCACGCGCCGACCAACTTGACCGAGTTGCAGAGTTTCCTGGGGTTCGTCAACTACGTGCGCCGGTTCGTCCCCGACATGGCGAAGCTGACTGCCCCGTTGACTGACCTGCTGAGGAAGGGGGTTGAGTACACGTGGGGGGAGAAAGAGCAAGCTGCCTTCTCGGCCCTCAAAACTATTTTGTGCTCCCCGCCCGTCCTTCACATTGCAGATCCCCACCGTCCGTTCGAGCTCGTCACCGACGCAAGTGACATCGCTGTGGGAGCAGTACTGTTGCAGGATTTCGGGAACGGCCTCCAGCCAATCGCGTACGAGTCCCGCAAACTACACCCGCCCGAACGTAACTACCCGATACACGACCGCGAGATGCTAGCGATCGTGCACGCGTTCAAAGTTTGGCGATGTTACCTGACTGGCGCCGACGTGACAGTACGGACAGACCACCGCTCGCTACAGTATCTTCGCGCCCAACCGAATCTCAACCCACGACAGATTCGCTGGTTGGACTATCTCGAGTCCAGTTTTCACTACACCGTTACGTACAAAAAGGGTGCATCCAACATCGCCGACGCTCTCACCCGCTCCACCGCCCAACTCCATGCCAACCTACTCGCCCAGACCAACCCGCTTTTAACTGGCCTATTCACCCACGGATACCGCACCGACCCATTTTTCACGACCGGAAATTCACAGCAACTGGCAGAAGCAAAAGGAGTCTATTACGTAAAAGCAGGCACCAACCGCATTTGGGTACCCGCGTACTCACTACTGAGGGAGCTGCTACTACAGGAGGCACACGACGGGATTACCTCGGGACATTTTGGGGTAGAAAAAACGCGACAGCAACTGCAGCGGTACTATTACTGGCCGGAGCTGTTGACCGACGTACAGCAGCACGTGGGCTCGTGCCCGACGTGTCAGGTGATGAAGAGTTCAAGGAAGCGGAAGGCGGGTCAATTGCAGCCGATCCCACCGCCCGAACGCGCCTGGCAGCAAGTAACCATGGACTTCGTCACAGGGTTAGCTTCGAACCCTGGGGGTAACGACGCGATGATGGTCGTCGTGGATAGGCTGACGAAGATGGCACACTTCGCTGCGTGCAAAAAGTCGATCTCAGCCGAGGAGACCGCTCGCCTGTTCATCGCAGCCGTTGTTCGCCTGCACGGGATACCAGCAGCAATTATCAGCGACAGGGACACGAAATTTACCAGCAACTTCTGGAAGAACCTCTGGGAGCAGTTCGGGACCAGGCTACAGTTCAGTTCGTCGTACCACCCCGAGACCGACGGCCAAACGGAGCGGACGAATCAGACGATGGAGCAGTTGATTCGTGCCACGTGCGACGACCCCACGACCTGGGAGCAGCAGCTGCCGCTGATCGAGTTCGCGTACAACAACGCCACATCAGCCACGACGCAGCAGTCCCCGTTCTACCTGAACTATGGGCAGAACCCCACAGTGCCCATGACGCCGAGTCCGGACAACCCAACGCCACGCGCACTACAATTCGCCGAAATCCTGCAAGCTGCCCGCGCCAGAGCCGCCGAAGCAATAAAAAAGGCCAACGTCATCGCTAAGCGCAACGCTAATCGCCACCGCCGCCCCGTCACGTATCAATCTGGAGATTACGTGCTACTCGACACGCAAAAT